CGGTGTCTGCCTCCGCGCACAAAAAATGAGATGGGCATCGCTGCCTACGCCGACGGCCAGAGGCCCGCGCATCTACATTTTTTCGCCTGACCCCATCAGTGCCGACCCAACTACACCACCACGCGCATGCCTCGCGGCGGATATGCGCAGCAGCAAGAAGGTTTCGGTCATCCCTTGAGGGTGAGTCTAGCCCTGCTCGCCAGAAAGACCCCCCCCTTCACTACAACCCATGTCCAAGCAAAAGCTTGTCGAGGAGCGAGGGAAGAAGGGATAATCATGGCGAGGTGCAATGTTGGTAGACCGAACAAGGGGGGGAGACCGGCGACGGTAACGGGTGCCCCGGACAAAGTGTGGGGGAGCATTTCGGTGTAGACTCAACGCAAATGCATGCACCCGGGATGCAAGAGTAAGACATGGAAAGGTTGTGTCTGCGCGGAGCTTTGTGTTGGCAAACAGGCAGGGGACCGGGGTGTTTTGATGTGCCAGGCATGCTTCAACAACCCTGTGAGGCACGCTAGGGCCGGAGATGCTCAACGGAACCCCCAGAAGTACGGGGTGGTGGGACGCAAGGATCTCGTCTGGTGGTCATGAGCGCATTTTTTTTTGGCCCAACGTTGAATGTGGCATGTGTTCCTGGCGGAGGAGACGCGGATGTGTTTCGAGGGTGCTCCGTTGTGATTTGCCTGGGGGTCAAACTGATCCTACAAGTGCATATTAGTGTCGTTCATCAACCATCTTCCCTTCCGCTAGGAATTTGTTGTGCCTTTATCGTCCACCTGTGTTTTCTTGAAAACAACGGTGGACGAGTGATAGTTTTTGTGCGTCGTTTACCTGTGTTGCTGATAACAACAGTGGTATTGTGGTGTGACTTGTGTTTTGGTTATTGAACATTCGGTTGTTTCCCGACCTTTCTTTGGTTTTACCACGGCCCTACCACGTTGCGGTCAGACAACTGTCGTCCAGGCTATGGGTGATCGTTTCGAAATAACCAATCTTGTCGGCGTGCCCCCCTTTCCCCGTTGTTGAACGGACAAAGTTTAGGCCTCGTCGCGCCTGAAAGCGCTTGTTCCTTGGGGTCCTACGTATCTGCCGAGATATATGCAGCGGAGCGTTTGTTGTGGGGCACCTGTTGGGGGGTACTACTTTTCAATTGTGAACTTTATGTCCCCTGGCAGGCTTTAATTCAGTGTTGCCTGCTGTACTTTGATTTGTGTTGTTTGTTTACAGGGACATATTTTGACGTCCACACGTATGTTTTTTTTGTCAACAACCTAACTACATGTCGGCCTTGGGTTGTCGCCAGTATCGGAGGTTTGGTTGACAGCCACGGTGACCATAGAGGCAAGAGTTTGCAGGAGTTGCAGATAGCATTGCAAGAGGTCCTTCGCATCTACGAAACGAGTATCTGACACATTTCTTTTTCTGGCTGCGTGNGGGTACTACTTTTCAATTGTGAACTTTATGTCCCCTGGCAGGCTTTAATTCAGTGTTGCCTGCTGTACTTTGATTTGTGTTGTTTGTTTACAGGGACATATTTTGACGTCCACACGTATGTTTTTTTTGTCAACAACCTAACTACATGTCGGCCTTGGGTTGTCGCCAGTATCGGAGGTTTGGTTGACAGCCACGGTGACCATAGAGGCAAGAGTTTGCAGGAGTTGCAGATAGCATTGCAAGAGGTCCTTCGCATCTACGAAACGAGTATCTGACACATTTCTTTTTCTGGCTGCGTGCGACTTTTCTTTCGCGCAACAACGTGACACACACGCCACACCGATGGTGTCGCAATACACCGATGGTGTCTCAATACACGAGTATTTCGGAGACCGCGAGCGCCATCGAAATCCAATTGTGCGAATAAGACGCTCCCTCCACGCGAGGGAGCCATGCGTACGTAGAAGGTTTTTTTTCGTTGTCTTCGTTCCCACACCACGCTGACCTCGATATACACATGCCTACTCCCTCCTACGGGTGTGACTTCAAAATGTGACAATGCTCTTTGCCAATGCTATTTGTAGAATGCACCACCGCTACTCTCAACGACGCGTGCCTTGCCGGTACCATTTATCGAAATTAGCCCAGCGAACTCAACAACGTGCGGAGACAAGACCCCCGGCAAACCACGCACAATCCTCGACGGTCTGCTCGATCCGGAACCAACCAGCCATGAAAAAAAAGCACGGCATGTACATGCATATCGACGCGCAAATCTTCCAAATCCTCGTGAGCAAGACTTCGTCCAGCACACACCCCATCCCTCACGCCCCATGAGCAGCCTATCGTACACCCTCAAATATCACGACAGGAAGGCGTCCGGAATGGCCGCTGGCACGGGTTCATCCCCCGGCCACACCGCGCGGCACGCCTGCGTGAAGAAGTCACTCCTCGTGATCTGCACGTCACGACCCCTTGCATTCATCTGAATGCTCGTGTCGAACGAAGCCTGCACGTTGTGGACAGGATAAACATAGAAGTCGGGTTGCTGGTTACAGAGTGTACTCCAGTTCGTTGGGGGACAACGGAGAGCTAACGAACGGTAGCATCGATAGCCTGTGAGAGACGGACGCGCACACGCAATGTGGACATTCCTCCTTTCGGACTACATGGAGGATATTTTCGGTCCCTCGACAACGGCGTTACTCCTTCTGCCTTGAAGAGAGAAAACTTTGAAGACTTCGTGACTACGACGTACTCTCCCAGTTCCGTGAAACGGAAGATATCACCCTATCTCTCGGCATGCCCCGGGGTATCGACGTGTTGAGCACCATATGTTTGTGTTTCGACAGCATTGCTTGAGCATTCTGTTAGGGTTGGGGGTAGACTCGCCGACGTCGCTCATCCCTCTCTCGTTTTCACTTCGTGTGGCCATGACTTCGCTCTCGCAGCTGCGTTGATTCACGACATACCGCATTTTCGTTGAAGTTCGAAAGTGACTTACATTTACCCAGTCTAGACGAATGAAACACTGCTCAACGCACACATGTGTATCGCCGTCCTTGCATCCTACAGCAGCTGCCATGGGCACGCCTGCAACTGTCACAACATGCAGCATGTGTTGATTTAGAGCATGTACTACTGTACCTACAGCAAATGTTGCTTCCTCTTGTAGCAAAATGAGGAGATATGCTACATAGAAAAGAGACGTACAAGTATGGATGTGGATGTGGATATGCATAGACCATATCTGTAAATGTACATGTCTACATGTTGGAGCGCACGAAGACACGAGCNGAATGAAACACTGCTCAACGCACACATGTGTATCGCCGTCCTTGCATCCTACAGCAGCTGCCATGGGCACGCCTGCAACTGTCACAACATGCAGCATGTGTTGATTTAGAGCATGTACTACTGTACCTACAGCAAATGTTGCTTCCTCTTGTAGCAAAATGAGGAGATATGCTACATAGAAAAGAGACGTACAAGTATGGATGTGGATGTGGATATGCATAGACCATATCTGTAAATGTACATGTCTACATGTTGGAGCGCACGAAGACACGAGCTACATGCACGAGACTATTCCGATGTGTACAGAATCCTCACATGAAACACATGCTACTGCTATGCATACGTGTTGGGGCTAAAGCCAGACAGCCAGCTACAGGCAACATACACTTATCATGGGTGGTACTTTCGCGACTCACTTGATTCCGTAGACGCTTCGTTGTGACCGCGCCTCCCGAGCTCCTCTCGGCTGCCTTGGCAAAGTCGACCGCCCCGCTACAGCGAGAGTGATGGTACCCGCAGAGACCGGGGTGCTGCTGCGCCGCGNCCATACACTCATCGTGGGTGGTCCTTTAGCGACTCACTTGATTCCGTAGACGCTTCGTTGTGACCGCGCCTCCCGAGCTCCTCTCGGCTGCGTTGGCAAAGTCGACCGCCCCGCTACAGCGAGAGTGATGGTACCCGCAGAGACCGGGGTGCTGCTGCGCCGCGGTCTTCCTTTCCGCAAGGTTCCTGATCTCGGGTTGGGGCTGCGGCTCTGCTGCCCCGTGTTGACAGTAGCGCTGTCCTACCGCCCGGGCTGCAGCAGCCGTGGCGTCGGGAAGTTGGTCTGGCGTGGATTTTGCGATAGCCAGCAGCTCATCCCAGACAACACGTGGAGCCGTCTCGGGACGCCATTGGTCTGCTATGTGCTGCCAAAACTGAGCAACTTCCTCTGGGTCCATGATGATGGTAGTGATTGGGTTACTTCTGCTGCTTCTGTTGTGCCTAAAGGTAGAAAGGTAGGAGCGGCAAGGAGACTATCGTCCCCGCCCACTTTTCGCTCACAATAGCAAGGGTTTTCGGGACTACAGCTCGGATCACAGCTCCAAGCGTCCCGCTCTATCTGTAATATAGAAAGAAATTGATAATTTTGCACGTTATTTCTATTTGACCCGATATTGCTTTATTTTCCAATTCGTACACACAGCAGTTGGTTGCATACAGACTTTTCTTCGTTTTGTGCCCAAGTTATCGCTGGCGCACAGGCGTGAGGGTCCACCTTGCGATGCTTCTCGATCGAGCCCCCCAGTTCACGCCCAGCTCGTACAGCAGTCACCGATGAGAGCCCTGATGTGTGTTGGTCTGCTGTTTTATACCAAAGGTTTGTGTGAGCAAGGGAGTGGCGTGCGGATGCAACCATGTGTACTCGAGTGCATGTGGGAGATACCAGTAGGTGTGCAGAAATCAGGAGACGGTGGTTGAAATATGTGTGCTCCACAGCCTTGGCCTTGATGATGTCAGCGGTCTCTTCGCCCAGTCGAGAAAAAAAAAAACTCGGAAGATCCAGGGAAAATCCAGCAGTCACATAAGGCAAAATATCATTGCTGCATTGCTGCATGCAACCGAATTCTTCTAATCTCGGACCACAAATGACGTCACATGACCAAGTTAAATTTCTTCTAAAACGTAGACCAAATGACGTCACATGACCAGGTGAAAATACAACACCTCGATGGCTTCCAAATCTGCAGTTGACCCCATGGTCGGGAAGCCCCTTTCGCACATTCCCAGCTTGATCCCTACCGCAAGCCTCCCATTGTGTTCGGAGCAGCCGGCATTCGGATCCCTGCCGTCGTACCACATAAATAGCCCCTCCGATAGGACTTGAGGCAAGGCGGGAAGGCTGTATCGGGTTTCGTGCAAAGGTGCTCTCCCATATTGACCTCGCGGCTGACACACATCGTCTTCTCTGCTGACCGCTGTGTATCCAGGTGGGTAATTTCTACGTGTTGTATATTTCGCCGTACTCCGTAACATGTCCACACCACTGCTCCACACGGAGAGACCAACTGCCACTCGCTGCTACTGCTGACCTTCATGACGGATGCTCTTCAACGGGATTACGACATGGTTGCGACAAGATGTCTCGGCAAACCGCTCTGAGGAACACCAGGGAAGTTGACAACAATCGCCACATTGGATGTATATCATTTGAACACTTTCCGTGCTCTACTGATGCTGATTACCAACACCAAACATACCAGGAAACCAGCTAACACGATACAAACTGAACGCTATGCCCTACCTACCATGAACCAGGTGTACCATTCTCTTCTACTGTAAGCATCACTGATACGCTACCCCAAAGGGTCAAATAAGTTTTTTTGTAAATTCAAAAAAACGGCGGGAAACACCTGCTGCCCGAAAAATTCAAAAATCTATAGGTTTGAAAAACGAGATATGTACTGCTGTAGCCTTCTTTCCATCTTCCATGATTTTTACATCAATA